TATATATATATATATATATATATATATATATATATATATATATATATATATATATATATATATATATATATATATATACACACACACACACACACACACACACACACACTATATTGCCAAAAAGTATTTTCTCTCCTGCCCTGACTCACATATCCATAGGGGTTCAATACGATGATGGTCCATCCTTTGAGGCTAGACTAGCTTTAACTCTTGTGGGAAGGCTGTCCTAAAGGTTTAGGGTTTTGTTTATGGGAAATTTTGACCACTTTTCCAGAAGCACATTTGTAAGGTCACACAATGATGTTGGAAGAGAAGGCCATGCTCTCATCCTCCACTCTAGTTCACTTGAAGTCTGTTCTACCAGGTTGAGGTCATTTACAGCACACTCTGCCATCCATGTCTTTATAGACCTTGCTTTGAGCTTTAGTGCACAGTCATGTTGGAAGAGGGAGAGGCCAGCTCCAAACAGCTCCCACAAAGTTCCTTTATCTGATGATACAGCTGTTAGTTGGCGGTCGACTATTTGGGAGCGAGGAAATTTCTCAACTGGATTAGTTGCTTAGATCATCCTTTAATAGCTCGACGCTGGACTTCATGCTGAGCTTCTGAGAGCGACCTAGTCCTGCAAAAAATTGTTTGTACCAACTGTCTGCATGCCTAGATGCTTGATTTTATACACCTATGGCCATGGAAGTGATTGGAACACCTGACTCCAACAACTTGGAAGGGTGAGCAAATACATTTGGCAGTATGTGTGTGTGCGTTTTAATTTGAATATAGTTAAAAATCCTGTTATTTCCTTAATTGAATATCCTAAATGAAACATATATACACATTAACTACATACAGAATGGTGCTTTCAAGCTTTTATTTAATCTGAAATAAGATTAGAATGTATACAAATTATTCTTGTATACATCATTGTTTAAAAACATACAGAGCAACAGATGTGTTACCTGTTGTTATGGGCAGTGAGGTAAGGGGCCAAGTGAGGCATGGAGCTACGGTAGTAAGAAGGGGAGAGGTGAGGGGAAGGCGAAGGGGAGGTACAACACGGACTACCCAGCTCCAGTGCTGGCATATTATCCACCTGAAATACACATCAATGTATGCACAAGTACAAACAAGTACTAGCAGAATGGACGAGGTGAAACTATGACTGTTATCTGAGTTACCTGTGGGTAAATAGATGGTTGTATCTGTTTGTCCAGGGAACTGCTTGACCCTGACTTTCCTGCACTCTGAGAGGAGATGGCTGCCAGTGCTTCTGGCAGATTATCTTCATCTTCGTGGTTGCTGTTTAAGGAATAAAATGAGATAGCGAGTGATTTACACGACTTTTAAAGGTAAACTGTCAGAGGCAGAGAGATATTTGATTAAAACACTTTTTCATTTGGAGCAGCATTTCTAGTTTGTGGAAGTGATCAGCGATGAGATTTACTCACAAGCTGAATTGTCGGACCAGCCGTTTTCTGCGGTTGGAGCTTGGGTTGCTTTTGGCCTGCAGCTTCTCCGGTGTTAAACTACGATCCTGCCTGCGAGGTGTCTTTTCAGCTGTCAAACTAGACGCTGCTGAGTCTTGGGATGAACTCTGATACCTGGACACCAGAGAAAGAAAAATAAAATAAATGGCAGCCTGCAGAATGAGGAACAAACATTGGACGCGATACCAACCTGTCACTGCTGGTCTCATTTGAGCTTTTCCCTCTGGGTGTCAGAGGAGCATCCTTCTGTGTCGTGCACGAGAGAAAATGTGGTACTATGGGTTTAACTGAACAACACTGAAGATAGATGTTGAAAGAAATGTTAGATCTGTTACCCTGAAAGCGGCTTCCATTTGGGCTTTAAGGATGTTACATTTGAGGTGATCCGGGAGCGTCCCTGGAGATGCAGGAGGATGCAGAGATTTTTCTGACAGCTGTTTCTCCTCCCCCTGCCAGCAGAAGAAAGCAAGAAAACCTTAGAGAAGTCAAGGGGGGGTGGAGTATATTATGTGGAAATATAGCTGTCCCACCTTGTTGTCAATGTTGATGTGGAGTGTAGGCCAGGGCGTAGAATCGCTGTCTGTTTCCAAAGCTTTTAGCAGGGAATGAGAGACGTCCATACCATCAGAAGGGCTGGGAGGAGCGCGACGTTCTGACACACAAAGTTTAATTGGTAAAACACACCAAAAGACATTCAGCAATTGTTCTAAAAGCAAAACAAGGAGCTGGTCTTATCATACACCTCTAACTTTTGACTAGACTGACATTTTAGATTCCATTCAATGTGCCTACATTACCTATAACAAAAAATCATATGAATTCAGGCATGGTGAAAGCTGTTGACAGTAAAGAATGCAAATAAATATCCAATAAAACAATGTGAAAGAATAGCTCAGTAGCATTTTTTAAAATAATTTTAACAAAAGCAAAAAAACAAAAAACAAAAAAAAACAATAGCTTATCAGACATAGTTACTAATACCATAAATGTTCCTTGTACAATTAACAGGAAAGTTATATATTTCTGAAAAACAAAGTAAGTGAATGTGTTACAGTGACCTGCAGATTTAACTTTTTCAAATTTTACCTTGTTATGGCCTCAAACTTCAATACAGTTCATTTTAGGTTATTTATCAACCAAAAAACATCAATGAAGTGAAGAAAAGTGACTCTTAGTGATTAGGACTCAAATTTCTTTTTTACATGCAAAACTATGTGAGGGGAAAGATAACTCTATACATAACCCTGAACACACCATCCCACTATAAAACATAGCAACAGTACTATCGTGCTGTTGGGTGGGTTCTCACCAGCAGGGCCAGTGAGACTGGTCAGTGATCACTGATCCCTGTTCAGTGATCTCCATCCATCACTGGCCTTTGATGGATGGAGATCAATACTGGCCAATCACATTCAAAAGAGATCTAAAGCATATGGCCAGAGGTATAGTAAAATAATTTTGATCAAAGAATATTTTTGCTATAGAATGACACCGTCAAAGTCCAGACTCAATCCAGACAAACATTTGAAGCACTCACTGAGCTTTACATATTTTGCAAGAAGGATTAGGTCAAAATCTTAGATGAGGAAACCTTGTCAAGACAAACCCTCACAGATTATTTAATAGTTAGGTGCTTTCTGAGGGCAATCCTCCTTTTCCTTTAACTTCTGGTGTATCTACTGCTTTGTGTTATTTTATCACAAAAAAAAATCCCAATAAGAGATCTAAAAAGTTGCTTCTAAAATGTGAAAAAATTCAAGGGGTGTTAAAACTTCAGCATTCGACTGTAGTTATTTAAAAACAATTTAAATGAGTCACTTTTATGTGGCAAAATATCAAACTTTGCATTAAAACACTTTCGTTTCATTCCATTATATGAACTAGTAAAGTCATTAAGCTGGTTGACGTGTATAACATCATGTTTAAATACGGGAATGTAAAAAAAAAAAAAAAAAAAGAGTATAAACAGCTAGGAAAATAAGTATCTGAACACCCTGCTATTCTGAAATTTTTATCATGGGTGCATGTCCACTGGGAGAGGCATAATCTATGATTTTTTAACTATTTGTATGATACAGCTGCAAATAAATATTTGAACACCTTTCTATCAGCTCGAATTCTGACCCTCAAAGACCTGTAAGTCTGCCTTCAAAATGTCCACCTAGACTACATTTATCATTCTAAATAAGACACACCTGTTTGAGGTCGTTAGCTGCATAAAGACACCTGTCCACCTCATACAAACAGTAAATCACACTACTAACATGGTCAAGACCAAAGAGCTCATGCTGAAGTTGATTTTTCATTATTAAAACAGAAGAACAAAGACAAATTTCAAATTATAAATAAATATACAGCAATATCTAAATAAATATTATAACTATATATAATATACACAGATGCATCAAAAATACAGCTAATATGGAAGGGATAGCATTTATTGTACCACAGTTTTAAATTAAGATAGGGAAAAGGATTAGTGATGGAGACGAGGTGCATACAGGAGAAATGCTAGCTTTGCTTGTAGCAGTTCAATGGGTGGAAGAGGTAAGACCATGAAAATCTATCATTTGCTCTGATTCGTCAGTTTGCAAAATAATCAGTCAGACAGTAGACCAGATATATTGATTAAAATACAACAAACACTTAACAGAACAAATATGATGGGGCTAGTAGTACATTTGGTATGGGGTCCAGCACATAATGAAATTAAAGGGAATGAAATGGCAGACAGTTTTCTAGACCTAAACCCAATAGAGAATCTTTGCAGGAAGCTCAAACTCTGTGTTTTTCAGTCACAGCCCCAAAAAACCTGACTGATCTAGAGAAGATCTGTGTGGAGGAGTGGGCCAAAATCCCTCCTGCAGTGTGTGCAAACCTGGTGGAAAACTACAGGAAACATTTGACCCCTGTAATTGCAAAAAAAGTCTACTGTAAAAAATATTAACATTGATATTCTCAGGTGTTCAAATACTTATTTTCAACTGTATCACACAAATAAATAGTAAAAAAATATCATATATTGTGATTTTCTTTTTTAGATTATGTCATTCAGAGTGGACATGCACATATGATGACAATTTCAGACCCCTCCACGATGTCTTAGTTGGAGAACTTGCAAAATAGCAGGGTGTTCAGATACGTCCTCACTTTAAATGATAGTGTGGTTAAATGTCTGTATGAGAGGACGGTACTCACTGTTTTTTGTGTGTGTGTGGCAGAGCATGTCTTGGCTGTGTGTGTGGCGGCGGTGACGATGGTGGGTTTTGCCAGAGTATGAATTTTCATTCTCGGATGAGCTGTACTGATGGTCTGAAGCCGAACTGCTCAGCGGGAAGCTGAGGATGACACATGCAGTCACAATAACTCCCTAATAAAAACATGTCACCTAAACAGTTTGAACTGGAAAAGCGGAAAAAAACCTTTACCATGAATAGCTGTAATGATTCTCATATCTTTACTCTGTGGTTTTACAGCACAAGTTTTAGAAACATTACCAATAATACGGGGTTGCAGTGATACAGCAGTTAGCAACATTGCCTCCAAAAGTCCAAAAATAGGCATTTGTAGGGTTATTTAGAGACACTGAATCGCCCCAAGATGTTAGCTCTAATAACCCTGCACAGTAGGAATAAAAAATGAATGGATACACATATCACACAAATGATGTATGGCTTCATTAAACAGTTTTGAGGCTGAGCAAAAGTTATAAATCAACCCGGATTTATTTATTTTCCTTGGAGAATCAAGACTTTCCTGAAAGCTTCTAAAATATTAGCCCTTTGATATTTGTTGAAACTTACTGTAGATTTATCTTGGTTTATAAACTTAGGACAAGAATGAGAAGATAAAAAATTTCTGATCATAATTTTTTTGGAATCACTTCATTGTTTTCTATTTGAACTGAACCCGGAAAAGGAATATCTCTACTTTTAACATGATTAACAGTTTATTTTGTTTAGAATAAGTTTTAATTTCACATAAAATAATTTAAATCGGGTTAATTTTTGAATTTGATTGCAGTTTAATTTCTTCACACACACACAAAAAGAAATTCTCTTGCTGATTGATAGATTTTAAAAGACTAGGTTGTAATTTTCAGTAAGAATACATTTCTTTCTCCAGTCCAACTTTTAGTTATGTATTAGAATACCATAAAACAAGTTCTTTTAGGAGACAATCGCTGCAACTTCAGTTATAGCATTTTCTGGTAACCCCCCCTGACCACAACAATCCTTTTTACTCTCCACAATGTGTGTCTTTATTGCATATTTTCCCTTAGTTTAAAGTAAGCCTTTAGCAACAAAATCAAATTATTTAAACAAATATAGTAGAGTTCTGCTCATATTTGGAGGATGTGGCTATTCTACTCCGAGAGGAAAAACCCAGCTACCAGAGAACTGTTCAGTTTTACACAGTCACCATCATCTACTGAATCCTGCATACATCCAGTGTGGTTTCCTGCATGGCAAAATATTATGTTGCATTCAAAAAGATAAATGTTGAGGCTAAATTTGAAAGAAACTAGAAAAGGGTTCTAGACTGTTAAGTTATATATAGGTTTGGATAAAAATGTAAATAATTAGCTCATATTAAACATTGTTTTAATAAATTGGATCAAATCAATTTAAAGACCATTTTTGTAAACTTTTAATATGATTCTGTTAATGTATTCATATTGAATAGATGTTTTTTTTAATAACAAAATCTGTTTGAATTCAGTTCAGTTTAAAAATATCTTTTAAACCCAAAAAAGTGAATTAAACATTCATTAAATACAAAAATAAATAATTTATTTTTTTTTCTTTGTAGTGCCTTATTAATTGAAGCAGGTGGGCATGTTCCTCTATATAAAAAGCACCAAACAAGGTCTTTGCAGTGTTTGCTGTCATAACTTGTTTATTTATTTTAGAGGCAATATGGCATCATTCCTAAAGGCCAAAGTGATTCAAGTAAACATGAAAGGAGAAACAAACACACTATTACAGCATAACACATTTTGTAAACATTTGGTTGATTTAACAAATTCATGACCTGAAGTAACATTAATATAATGTTCATCAAAAAAAAAAAAAAACTCACTCTAAAAGCAAAACACCTCCAATACAGAAGCCTACATGGATTTCACTGCTAGCTTCACACTATGAATACAGCAGCCGGATCTCTAAAGCAGCAAACACTACGGTCCCCTTTCACCAGCTCACAATTACTTCCACTCAGCACTTACATCTTTGATTTCTGCTTAATTTAGGTGATTATAAATATTTTTCTACCATTAGGAAAAAAAAGACCACATTAAAGGCATATTTAAGACCAAGCTAAACAAGTTAGAGATTAAAACCTTGCTTAGATATAATAAGGCATTAAGACACTATGCAAGATGTTATTATCTAAACTGTTTAAGCAGAAAACCTGTTCTCTACTGTATATTAAAATCCATTGATAGAGACACAGGTGGAAAAGCTATCCCGAATCAAACCATCAAAATTCATGATTCTTAAAGCACTTGATATATTTTTGGAAGCACTTATTTGGTTCTCTTCCAAATATTTTGAAAATATGCTTCTAATTAGCTAATCTCTTCCCAGTAAATGAATACAGAATCTTCTGGAAACTTTTCTTCTCCTATTTTCCTATTTTCTGTTTCGCTGCAGATTTTAAAGATGTTTAATCTGAGTAGATGTATACAAATCCAGAAGTTTATGCAAACTCATGAGCTTAAATAAATTAAGACTAATTAATTTTAACGTTCTTAAGTCAGGGTGGAATGATTCATTTTAATTTATTATTATTTAATGCATTGTTGCCCTATCTACACTTCTGGTAAATGATCATGACTGAAAATCCTTGCTATTCATACCTTAGATTTTGATTTAAAAGTACTTTTAGTCTAACAAAATGATTTTTATTTCGATTACAAATAAAACAGTAACATCCAGAAAAATAACAAAAGAATATTAAGAGAATGAAAGAAAAATGCTTTATTAAAATTACTTTCTTACTTATGTAAAAACCCGTTTAAAACATCAGCAAATATTTGTTATTAGCGTTACAACAGTAAAATCCACCTTATAATTATTGACCAGCATTTTTCATGTTTCCCCCTGAAATTTCAGCCATTTTGCCTCAATGCAATCACCCTAATCTTTGGCTTCCTTTACAGATTATCTATTCTGTTTATTTCAGTGCTCTCTCCAGACTTTCTTCCAGCCTAAAGAAACCTTTTGGAAGAATTACATGTTTACATGTAACCTAAATCTGCCAGCGGTATGAATAGTTGTGAATTGAACTGCAGTAATTCTCTTAGCAGAATAAAATGAATAGTTTGGCAGCGGTTGTTCAACAGGCAAACCCTCAGATCTAAATCTGGCAGGGAGATTTGGACATGCTGAGGTATTTTGGAGCCATTTCTAAACAAAAATTCAAAAATAGACCTTGCAGATTTCAAGATTTCCAGTTTAATCTATTTTACATCAGTAAAAGTAATCTGTGTTGATACTGACAAGGTCTGGAAAAACAGAGATAGGATCTTCTTCAGATGAAGGAATTTTGGGTACGATGTTAAAAGTCTACAGAGGATCGGGCCTGTAACGAACTGGAAAAGTGCTGGAAAACCAGCGTCAAAGCCCAAAGATTGATATGAACCAGAAGCCTTTCAATCATGAATGAAGTTCCTACTTTGAGCTCTAATGAAAACCTGAAGCTGCCCACACGGACAAGCCAAATGCCTTCTGGAGAGAAGCTTTTCTTTTCTTAAAAACAAGAGAAAGGCTGATTAATTAAAGTGACAAGTAAGATATTTGGAGAGGCTTTCAAACCTTAGAATACTATGCTAACTCTTAAGCATAGCTTTAGTTGCGTCATGCTGTGTGACTTTTTTAATGCCAGCGGTTTTGGAGTAGTGAAAAACAAAGCAGGGAGATGACCTTCAGTTTCACAAACCACTTTAAATCAACAATTTGAGCTGGTTTAAAGCCATGAGGACTAAGTCTAAAAGAATTACCCATTTTTAAAATAACAAAAATTAACTCTGCAAAGCTGGAAAAGCATGTTGCTGAGGTGTAAGATGCCAAGAGAAATGTATCCAAATATTAATGATTTGTGTCTATGTTTAAAATTTTGACTTTTGATCCCAAAGAAGTGTGAATAAATACTTTACTGTATGCACAAGCGTTCCACCCTGAAAAAAAGAGCTTTCAAATAAATAACTAAAAGATGAAGGTTACAACTCATTCAAAGTCATCATCATGAGTTGGATACAGGTTCTGCGTATCTCAGGTGCATCCATAAACAAAATGTTAATGCAGTTGGAAATATCTGCAGGCCATATTAAGAAAATTCCAGGAATACTCCCTGGTCCATTTCACCCTAAACAGTACTTTGGCCACAGTTCTGCCATCCTTGAGTGAAATAAATGATGGCATTATTCAGTGTAATAAAGATGTTTGGGAATGTTGACACCGACGGTGGATGAAGACAGAACAGATGAGAAGAATGACGATGGAAACTAGGTCATCTGCAGAGCTTCCTTCCTTCCTTTGGGACAAGTCTTTCTCAGCTCTGAGGTCTGAAACTGTTTCCTGGGTTTAAGAAAGGTCAAAGGGCAGTCATGACCTTGTCCCTGTGAACCAAACTGATGGATCCTTTGAGGGTGCTGACGGTTGGCTCAGGGGCAGGAGGATGACTGTACAATGGACTTGCAGCCTCAAAGGAAGGCCTGAGCACAACAGATGATGGAGACCACAATCATGGAGGTGATATGAGAAACATAAAATGGAGCAGCAGCACACGCAGTCTGATGCACGGACTCACCTGTGTGACGGAGTATGAGCGGAGGGCTGTAGGTAAACCGGGAGGGTGAGAGCGGGGTGGTGCGGATGCCAAGCCTCATGACCAATAGGAATGTTGTGTTGGTACTGAAGAGGGTCATGGAGAGCCTGAAATTAATCACCTCTATAAGCCAGACTGGTTGTTACAGCATCTGTGAGTGTGTTTCTGAATGAAGGTTATCTGCTATCACTCACCGCGTGAGGACTGAGATCAGGGCTGGCATGAGAGCTGCATGTCAAGAATATTTGAAAACATGATTTATTAAATGTGAAACAAACACAAAAAAAAATTGTTTAAAGTTAACAATTGGAAAAAAAGAGCTACAAAAAGTTAGTCTTATACAAATGGCAAATTTTTGTGTTTTCTTTGAAACTGTCCAGGCAGTGATGTGGATTAAGATCAAGAAGTAGCCGATATGATGGCGGTGTAATCTGTACATCGCATGTTTGCTAATCTGAAGATTTTACCTGATATGTAGAGGCTTTGCAGGGGAAATGGCAACTGCAAGGGAAAACATAAGACATATTTAGGAAAAAAAGCAGAAATGTAGTTTTGTTACTTTAAATTTTATTCCATATTTTTGAGTCAGTGCAGCTTCTATAGACACAACCTTAACCTGCCGCTCAGAATGAGGCCTTCCAAATATATTCATAGTCCTTGAGCCTGTTTTGTCATGCAACTGTTAAAAAATACTTTATTAAACCCAAAGGGAAATTAAATTAAATACAAATAGACCATCGACTTTGTTAAAAACACAGATAAACCCCTGCTGAAGAAAATTATATCCACAGCATGATGCATCCAACACTGTGTTTGAATATGCAGATGGTGCAGTGAGGATTTTTTTTTTTCCAAAAAAAATATTTCTCCATGAAGATTTCGGCCCAATTTGTAAAGTCCACAACTCAAAGCGATCATGTCGACAGGTTTTTTCACCTGAACTGTCAATCTCTGCATCACCCCATCGTAAACATGGGTCTCTATTAACTAGTAAATTATGTGCTTTGTCAGATGTTCTAAGCTTGGAATACTGTTTTAACAAAACAATCCAACACAGATGCATACTATGTACCATTTAGGTAGCTACTGGTTTAGTACATTTAGTGGTATCAGGGGCTGAACACAAATCCACACTATACTTTTCTAAATTGTATCTTAAAATCATGAATAGTTTCCTTCCAGCTGCAACCAAGCCTTACTTTATGCTGATCTAATGGATTCATTCTTACGAAATACATTAGGGTTTATGGTTGCAGCTTAAATTTTATTCTCTAATAATCATAAGTAATCCTTTTGATTTTCAGACATTGATGAGTTTAGTGATGAACTCCGACCCACCAAATAAGGTGGGAATTGTGGAGATATGATGGAGGAGTTCAGAGAAGGAAGGTGACAATTACAATCTATAGCCTTGAATTATAAAGCACTTTATGTAAAAAGGAAAACAAAAATGGACCGCCTCCATGAGCTTGACAAACCTGTTGAGCTTGTCATACTAAAATGCAATACTAGTCATTTATGAAGAGAACACATTGAAGAAACCCTGCTGCCTCACAGGCTGAAGCTTTTTTCTTTTCTCTCAGGGCTCTATGCAGCAGATTTCAGACATTCAGGTAAAACAGTGTGTGACCTTTATGATAATGCACGAGGGCGCACAGAGGACAAAACAGCTGCTCTTAGTCATCCATGTTTCCAATGTGCTGATAAGACTCACCTTTGCCCAGCGACTGGGTGCGGGAGGGGTATCGTTTGCTCGGCCTCCTCTCAAATGTGCTGGCTCTCCTCAGTCTGCCTCCATGAGTGGCCTGATACTCAGTCTTCCCACTACGGCAAGCACAAAAAGGAGTTTGAAGAGCAGAAATGATCGTTACCAATTTAAAACAAAAAATTTAGTTGTAACCATGTGCAACCAAAATACAGCTTACTCATTTTTGTAGCGTTCTAGGCAAGATGTTTTAATCATCTTGCGGTTTACTATCACAAATGATGATGGTAAATGGCCGGGCCTGAACCTATATAGTGTCATTTAAGTTTGACACTCCAAAGTGCTTTACATTACATCTACTCATTTATCTGGGGCAAACTGACAGGAGCTGATCAACACAGGGAAAGAGTGGTCAGCTAAACCACAGTGAAACTAAGTAGGCATAAGCATCATCGTACCCTGCCTTAATTAAAGGTATAGAGGACAATCTTTTATTTCCAGGTGTATCATCTAAATAAGTGGTCCTACTAATTGTTCAATCATTCTGGTCTATGTTTACGTAAAGCCGTCCTATGTTCTTGTCCCCATTTAGCTCATTTTTTACTATGCATGCGTACTTTAAGGCGTATATCTGTGATGAGCTACGGTTTCAGTCATTGAAGCTCACCTTTCTCACAGAGGTTCTTTGAAAATGGCCGAGGGTCTTAAGAGAAAAAGTGTCTATGAAGTTTATGAGAAGAAAAGAAAGGCCTCAGAAAAGGCAGATATATCCCAGAATGCTTTGCATGGAGAACTCTCCTTGCAAAGCCTTATGGGATTTTCTGTCACATTGGTTCGACAGCGGAGACTAATAACATCCTCCACTGCGTGGTGGAGGAGGAGTTACGTGACCAACGGGGAGCAAAAAGTAGTGATTATCTGTCCGAACGGTAAGTCAACTGAGTTTGCTATGAAGTCCACTATATGTGACCCTGCCTATGAAAACCCAGCTAAAGTCATTTTTTGGTGAATCTCAACTTAATGTATAAAACCATTCTACACAATGTTAAGAATGTATTCTGAAAAATTCAGAGATTCACCAAAAAATGACTTTAGCTGGGTTTTCATAGGCAGGGTCACATATAGTCCCTGTTATAAACAATTATTGAGGAATTTAGGGGTTATGCTACGTTCAAGCAGCAAACAGCACAGACAGCAGAAGCAGCCAGTTTACATGAAAAATCAATGGTAGATGCGCTTCAAGGCTCAGCAAAGGGTCCCGCAGTGCGTCTGGGCAGCCGAAGCAGCGCCTCACAAGCTTCTGCGCATCTGATACCCGCACAACACGCTTCAGAAGTAGGATCTGCTGGAGTTGAAAATGTTTTAATTTTGCTGCTCGACGCGCCACATCAACCAATCAGAGAAGACGATCTGGTAGCTGGCAGGGAGAAAGGCACAGCACTGCTGATGCAGATCGCTATGATCACTCCCCTGAAATAATTTATTAATTCTTAAATTAACTTAACCTCTAAAAACCGGCCGGCGACCCGGTGGGTGTGCATCAACAACAGAAATTAGAGAATATTTTTAAATAATAAAGATGCTTACACAATGTTGTTTGCTGACATACTAATACGGGGATAGAAATACAGGAGAAAACTAATCTGGCATTGTCTACAAGCTAGCTAGCACAGCTAAACGCTAAAAGGACTTAGTTTGCTCTCAATGTTTTACAAGTCCTGGCATTTTCTTAACCACATAAAGTGTATCATATTTGATACAGAGGTTTTTGAGACCTTCACATTATCAGTGTAATTTTTTTCATGAAAAACCTGATGTATAAAATCAGACACATGTAGTGAACAGACAATGCATAATAAATTGCACAAAAATATCTAATGCATCACAAATAAAACAAGCTCCTATCTACAAACTGACTAATCCTTTTTTCCATTTGTAAGTGTTCAGTAAGGACTACTTTCAAAGAGTAGACATTTCTGACCATTATTTTATGTTTCTAGGGGTTAAATATAAATTATAAATAAATATAAATTATTTTTACCTTAATAATTTTCAGATGATGCATGCTTTAAAGATCTCTTTATAGTTATTATTCTGAGAGCACTGTTTAAACATTAATATCATCATATGATCATTATCTACCATGATAGAAAATGTGTTCAGTGATAAAGATCCAGTAGAAAACAGAACAGCAGCTTGCTATAAAAGCACATAATATTTTATGCCAGAACTTGTGGGGTATAATAATAATAATACAGAGCCTGCCCAAAGGTAATCCCAGGATGATTATCCTGTATGCCTGCATAAATATGAGTATTTCTTTGGCTAGTGGGTTGAACATAAATCAAGTCAAAGTTTAGAAGGCAGCATTAGTAATGCAAACATAACTACCATGTGAAAGAGAAAAAAAACAAAAACAAAGGGAGAATTTATTTCCTATCAGACCAGTTTAGGAGGAAACAAAGAGTTAGAAGGTGACCCAGGTGCACCTATAGTGTTAAATTACATTGCGTAGCATTCAAGTGTTTGTTTGCACTTTCACCACCTGTAACACAAGTGTCTGTGCACAGACCGTAACAGAGCAACATAACACAGCTTTGATCTGGCTGCTCCAACAAATGACAGGAAGTGCCCTTCAAGTGTGAGAATTGCTAATAATCACAAGAAAACAAACAATATGAGGGGAATGTCTCAGTCTCCATAGTAACAGATGCAAGTAACCATAGCTACTCAGTAACCATAGATACGAAGGATCTGTTTAACATGACACATAATTTCCCCCATATGCCCGGTAACAAGTGTCGGCCACAACAGCCTGGGTTAGCCTGGCTGCATCATTCCATCTCCGGCCGCAGCGCCTGCAGGACGCCTGCCCTGAGAGGAAACATCAGGAGTTTCAGCATCTCTGTCTACCTGAATCTGAAGCGGGAGCCCAGCCGCGTGAAGTCGCTGCGGCTCGCCTTGCCGGCAGTCGGCTGCCGCAGGCGAAAGAAGGCGTGGCTCTCCACTGCGCTCTTCCACAGGTGTTTGCAGCTCTTGGCGCTGGCCAGCTGGAAGACGAATGTGTGCTCCTGCTCCCGACCCTTTATGGAAAGTATAACCAAACTTAGAGCTTGACACTGGTTTGTGTATCTGAAGAAATTTAAAAGAAGACAAACCTGATCATCGTCCTCCACCACCATTAGAGTCAGGCGACTCTTTTTGAAATCCAGCCTGGTGATTTTGGGCCTGTGACCAGAGATAAAAGCTAAAGTGAACACTCCTCTTAATCCACTTAGAATCAATAATACTAGATAGCTTAACTCACTAACACCAATAAATCATGTTTTTTACTGTTACATCAACACATTTTAATTATTATCTTTGGCTGAAAAAAAAAAGCCAATTTCTTCTTAGAACAAGTAAAGCCGACTTTATCGTTTATGGAAGGAATCACCCTTCAGCAACAAGGAGAAGAAATCCCTCAAAGTTTCAGAGAAAGAGAACACATTGGAGACATGAAATTTCGACACTTTAATCTTTGCATAAATTACACAGTCAATTACAAAAAACAGTCATCATTCTTCAAATGACTTTTTTCTCTGCATAGTTTTAGCTCTGTTTTATCCAGCAGTCGTGTGGTGCAGCCAGTTAGGGTATAAAGAATGTGGTAAAGCTAGATTGCTGATATCCTGTTAGGATATAAATGCTTAATACTCTGAAATAGTCAGAAGTCATATTTGAATAGGCTTTTGATGCTGTGGCTTAAAGCTGACATGTCCTACAGTTTCTTATTTGCAGAATAATATTCTACACATTTGATCTTCTTACCAAAAGAAAAGCCCAATTTTGTTGGAGCCTTCAAAAACCAGGATTCCGGTCGGGGTGAGACCCAGTGCATATTCACCTCCATCTCTGCCCTAAAGACACAAAACCAAACATTTAATTCATTCCTCAACTCCACAATTACGTGAAGGGACTCATTTAGATTCCAGTCAGAAGTTTACCTACACCCATCATTTTATTGTTCATTTGTGGTTCACCATTAACAATGCTCATCAATGTTTAAAAACAAGAAAATAATTCATAAGTTAAAATTTATTTAGGACTTTTTTTCTAAAACACAACACATGAAATAAACATGGCTCTTATAGGACTAAAACATGACCGGACATGCTTGAGTTTTTCGTTGTCTAGATGAGGACTTGTCAAAAACGTTAATGACTTGTCAGACAAACAAAATCGTTGACATTTCTGCCTGTTGTTCATCTAATCTGTAAATCAAAAGGCTAAAGCATTAAGAGTGCTACTCCCCTTCCTGTGCCACACCCTCCACCACCTGAGAGCGGCTTCTGCACGTTAAGGGACTTGAGTAGTTGGACACCATAGAAAGTCCTATGGATGCACTTTAAATAAGATCCATGCAAAAGAAAAATATAATCCATTTTAGAGTCAGATTGCTGATGTTCCTGCAGAAGTAGGGTCCCCTGTTAACTTCAGGCTAAAGCTGGGTTGGTTGTTCTAAAATCAGTAAATGAGTTCTGTGTTTTACTGTAGAAAATACACTGCTTTATGGCTGGACATCAAGTGTAATGCTCAGCAAATTTTAACTTATTTTCTATTTTCCATCAGTATGTTATGATCCGTTTACCCGGTGGGTTATAGGTGCCTCATTATCACACGTATTCTGGTTGCTTTAGGCTGAAAGCAATAAAAATATGGTTACCAGATGTCCCCGTTTGGACAACCTGTCCCCGACTAAAGCCGTCTGCAATTTTAGAGTTTTACGACAGAGAAAATCATGTTTGTTGACAGTTATTACGGTAACTGGGGTAGCATGTTACACAACAGCAGTGGCTGTCATGGTAACAGAAACAGAGGAGCAGCGCATTGTTTTCATCACCAGTGGGTAGCTGTAGAGGTAGCTGTAATAATTACCTTATTCATTTATTGTCCATTATAATCTTCAGCTTTATTTATCAATTTCTTATGTTTTTAAGCATTTATTTATGTGCATGTTATAATATTTTTGTCCGTTTTATTCTTTCTTTGTATTTTTTTTTTTACCTTATTTATTTCTGCCTGTCGTTTTTTATTTCTGTTTGCATTTCTGCCTCATTATGCAAATGAGGAGGTCTGTGTCTTAGAGGGTCAATTTTTGCCCATTGGTTGGTTAGCATTTCACTGCATCGGTCGAATCTACAGGAGGAGAGGATGGTCTGAAGTCGAGTGTGAAGTCACTGACCGTTTCTCAATTCATAAGAACACGAGTACGGACTCGTGTCCTCGCCAAGTACGTTCTTGAGAAGAAGACAGAGAAGTATGGACTTGGTAAGAATGGGAGCACGCAGCATAAACACGGGTCAATTGGAACAGAAGCGTACGTGTTACGTCACCAAATACTCGGCTACTCACCTCCTGTTATTAATAGCCTCTACAGGGTTTATACAGGAATGAATAACTCTAATTTAATGTTTTTTAATGGTCTTAGAAATAATTTTAATGCCTCCAACAGGTACCCGGTGAACCCCTTTTGTTGAAATTGGCATTCTTCCCCATTCTCTCCGAACATACGTCTTTGTGATCAACCGGAAGCAGTTCCATGCAAATATGTCGTGATATAATATGTCTGAGGAAATTGTTTTTATAAAATTCTTTTTTTTTTTTCAAGGAAGCATTTTAAATGCCACAATAAACACATTTAATGAATTGTAATGCCAGTTAAGGACTTAATTAAAAAAAATAACAATTTAATGACTTTTAATTATTTTTAATGACCCGCGGAAACCCTGCTCTAGATAATAATAAATTCTGATATTTTTCATTCAGTGGGGGAATAATAATTAACACAGTCAGATAAACACAAATAAAATGAACATTCTGCCAAATAAAACAAAAAAAATCACCATCATAGCCAGCGGTCCCTCACACACGGCTATGCCGAGAGAAGGCTGCTGCAGACGGGCTGCGGTTAGCCCTGGCTGCCGTTAGCCACGGAGGTCCGCTGGTTGCAGCAGTCCTACCAACTTCGGAAATGTTTTCTTAAATTTTGGCCATATAGTGACGCTTAAAAGTATAATGTTCTAGCCTCAAATTATCTTAAAACTTACTTTTATTGAACAACAGAAACAGAAAAGCGATCTTTTAACTTAATACTCTGAGCTCTGTGAGTTAAAACAATGGGCCGCTTCCTCCAGATTCTGAAAAACGACATTGTCGACATCTGTGTCCATGTGTGCCGCTAACTCTGTCAGAGCATCCTCATGAAAAATAATAAAGTCAACACATATAAGCATTATTATTAGCATTATTTTCAAAAACAGTTACTAAATGCGTCAGCTCACTGACAACTTCAACTTAGGTAGCCATCTTTGTTGTGACTGTGGCTGGTGGCATGTAGAATCGACCAATGCAGTAAAATGCTAATGGCTAGAAGTTGACCCTCTAAGACACAGCCCTTCCTCATTTGCATAATGAGGCAGAAATGCATACAGAAATGTAAAAACGACAGGCAGAAATAAATAGCATTGAAGAAACAAATAGGGTAAAAAAATACAAAGAATAAAACAGACAAAAATATTATAACATGCACATTGATAAGGTAATTATTACAAAGGTTAAATAAATAAAGAAGCTAATTAAGTGATATATACATTTATGTCTCACTGTATAATTGAATTTCTACCTACATATATTTATTTATTGTACTTTTGGGGGCAATTAAATGTATGCTTATTTATTTTTTTCTGTATTTATTTTTAAATATAGTAAAGCTGGCCCTCCATAGGTTTGGACATACGTAAGTTCCTCATAAAATAATAAAGGAATCAGTGAGAGGGGAAACTTAATGGGGAAACTACTGCATAAACGCAGAATGATGAGGAGAGGTGCATTCACTTGCTGACATTTATAGGACAAATAGAAATTCATCCTAAATCAAACTAGAACTTTCTTCATAATTTAACAAAAAGTCTAAAACTTGACAAACTGCACATATGGGTGTTCCAACAAGTCAATGATCCTAACCACACATCAATTTGGTTTTGAAATAGATTAAGCTGATGTCAAATTTGTGGAGATACTTTCTCAAAGCTGCAGCTTCGACCCTGCTGAAAATTGGTGAATTGTGCTTTAAAGCTTGAAACCAGGAAACAAAATAACTTGAGCAAACATGAAAGATTCTGTCCAAAGGAGCAGTCTAATATGCAGAAAACTATGCCAGAGGTTTGTTGATCTATATGCAGATTAAAAACATCCCCAATAATAAATCTTTACAAAAAATTTTTTTTTTTTTGCTTATTTTTCTGCCTAATACACATAGAAACACATTGAAAAAGTTCAAGCGAAATAAATAAACAAAAGGCCCAAACTGATGTGGCCCTAAATGCTTTGAAAAGCCTGAATGTAAACTTCTTTTAAATTATACGTGTAGGGGTGCAGTATACTCACACACCTTGACAAAGTGCATATCTACGCCGTAAAGTTCCAGCCACTTGCATTTGTTGAGAAATGAAATCTCTGCTTGAGACGGGCTCTGACCCCTAAAGGAAAAATGTAGGATTATTTTTCACAACAAACAGTTCTAAATTCGTTGGGCAGAGCACCTTTCTAAAGAAACCAAGCAGAAATGTAACCATCAGGCTTGATCTCAGCTCAATCTAAATTCAGGCTGACCCTCGTTCGTGGCTCTGTTGACCCTTTGAGCCTCAGCATACAGTATGTACAAGGAATCTAATCGGAGCAGGGAGCAATCAGAGCAGGGCTGCGTTAAACACTGCCTAGAATCAATCAAAACCCTTCAGAGATTAATCCCATAATCCTTTACGCAGACCAGTGATAGGGAAGACTAAGCAGAGAGTGCAAGCACAGAAGGATGGTGAAATTGGAAACCCTCTGCAGGGAAAATAAAAAAAGCCAGTGTTCACAGGTGGTAGCAGAAGGACTTCCTTTTCTGCTCTGTGCTCTAAATTCTGCCCCACTTGTTTGACCCACACAGGAGAGAAGCATTCCTGGGTCAAGTTGCCAAGCGGCTGGACGCCCTACAGTAAGCTGCTTTGGCACAACACAAGTACTTGGCTACCAATGTACAGTAGATGCCTGCTAAAACGAGGGTTTGTGAATGCACATCCGGTTTTTAGGGCAGTGTAGCTGCTTTGCATCTTCATCCCCACCTGAGCTCCAGCCACCTGCTGAAGATGTCCGCCTCCATGGCCTCACTCTGTTTGGGAGTGAAACGAAACTCCGACACCAGCTCGGGGGAGTGCTCCAAGGGGTCGCAGTCGCCCAGCTCACCTATGGGTGGATGAACAAAGATCTGATCATTTCTAAATAAATTCTCCACCTTTTATAAATGGGAGAAGCAGGGCTGCTGTCCTTCATCCACCTTCTGTTATTTTATTTATTAACCTCAAAATGTTGCATTCCAGCAACTTCCTAAATTAGATTATCTATGTAAACAAAATAATTACTTTTTGAGACAGCTGAAGTGCTTTGAATTTATCACTTTTGATGCTCCTTTTCAGTGCATCTTTGTAAAACAAAATTAGTGGAAATCTACTGAAAATTTAACATCAATAATGTTATAAATTGCTTACAATTCTAATTTGGGAGTTTCAATTAGCAGATTTCTAAGCTTTGAAAGCAGGGGAGAGTTTTCCCGTGTCAACAAAAACATATTTAAACAGAAAAATAAACATAAATGTAAACTTAAAATGTGTTGGAAGTAATTTTGAACTGATGTCAACAAATATTAGAAGTGGGCATTTTGGATGAGGAGGTAATTTTTCCCTTTTAAAAACGTCTCTGAATGAGCGCCTTTACTTACCTTGTAAACAATATGCCGCCAGCTCCACCGACACATCATACGGACATTTTAATCTGTAATAAAGGGAAGATCCATGAATTGAATCCAAAGTTTTGCCCCTGGTGCTGTTACAGTTTTTAATACGGACAACATGGCTTACTGAATAGGGTTGCATCGCCTTAGAAGGCGACAGAAATGCACAAGAGTACGATGCATATTAAGGCACGCCACATGCACAGGGCAACGATCCAATAAGGATATCCTTCTGCAGGGACAGGGCTGAAGACTTACTCATTTGCATTGATGTTTTCTCCCATAGCTATCAGATTATTAGCTTTAGCAATGCCTAGTGTTCCCTTAAAACCTTTATGTAGCTATGCAATTTTCTAGCAAGTCTTGTAAATTATTTTTGCTTTGCTTAAGATTCTAAACTGTCAAGAAAAGTCAAAGAATTAAAACTTTGCACCTCTTTTAGCAGTTAAAGTTAATGCTACTTTACGCAAGCTGGCAGGTATTGTTTGGCTGAGAACAAGCATGCAGTGACAAAGAATGAACACAGTCAGTGGACGGTTTAGCTTAAAAAAGGGGTACGGTTGTCAATAGCATTTGAAGAGAAGAGAGAAATGTCGTTTTGTTTTTATTTTGACTGACGTTATGTCAGCCCTGAGATTGACTGGCAACCTGTTGCTTGTCCACCTTGTTTTTTCATGCAGAGCTGTCCGTGCAATTAAAAATGTTCCTAGGTATGTGATAATATTTAGACAGATTTATTTTTTAGACAGATTTATTTTCTCATTTTGTACACACGAGTGTAAACAAAAAGAAATATCGTTTAGAACAGCTCTAGACAATTTCATATTTTAACGTACAGCCTTGAAAACAGTAATAAATACATGAAAAATAGTAATATAAACATATGACTGTATATTTATTATTCTAACAATCATTCTTTTTTTATCCTTTTATTTAAATCCTGCTGTGGAAATTGTGTCTGTGGACACACTGCGCTGAGGGGCATGGAACTTAAAAATGACTTAATTTGGCCATGCAGACCTCACACATTGATCCAGCAGAAATTAAGCTTTAGTCATGCTAATCAGATATACAGGGTTAAATTCAGAACCTTAACTTTACTGTGTTTGTTTGTATGTTAAATCATAATAAAATGAGAAACCTTTACTGTTTTTGAAAACAAAAGAGGGGTTAGGAGGGTCTCTTATGTATGTATTAGTGGGTGTTTGAGATCCAGAAGGAGAGGCTTGCCTAGGACAAAAGTCAAGCAAGAACGAGCCCTGCCATGGAGCGATTTCATATTTTGATAGAGTGGCTGGATGCCCTACACTGTGTGAGTGTGTCAAGGAGGAGAGGAGCAACCCTTTTTCTAAAATAAGCAGCCCTCTGCTGTTCTTGATCTTGAGCTTTTATAATAGAGCTGGACTCTCGGGACGGGTGGCCCAGATAAGAGCGCTGACACACTGAAGTGAGTGTTTGCACTGTCAGGACGGGTGTGTGTGTGTGTGTGTGTGTGAGAAACAGATGTTGGTGTTCTGACTCCCCCCACCCCAGAAAAAGCTGTAGCAAAGGTGACCTGTGTGCCAGGGGTAGTAGGTCTGGAACATCCCCGCAGTGGGGAGGGGAGTAGCTCAAAGTGACTTATGAGGATGTTGGCTAGAACTGCTTTCAAGTATCAACTTATCAAATGAATTTAAACTGATAATCAAAATACTACATAAAAGCAAAAAATCACAGCAAAACATAATACTGTACACAGTGAAAATGGGATCTTATCCCAGTATTTTTTCTTAAACCTGTAGCATGTAATTATATTCCAGTTACATTGCAACAAAAGGTACAATTGATCTGTCAAGGCCTTTAAGGTTTTATTCTCTCTGGAACAGACTGATCATTAGAAAAAGCAGAAAAGCAGATTTAAAGCAGCATTACGTCACAGAACAATATAACTTTCAACCTCCACAATCAAAAAGTCAAAGTATGATCCAACTAAAGACCTACCAATCAATGGTCTTGAACCTTGTTTTGTTTCATTTATTTAATCTCATCCTTTCTCTGAAGGCTTCTCATCTAGTTCATCCATCACTGTCCCAAGGCCAGATCTCTGTATCACTTCACTTTTATTGTTCTTCTCATTTTAATGTTAACATCCATCCGATTATTTCAGGGTCCAGTAATACCACCTGATCCATTCTCCTCCTGAGAATGGGATCTTATCCCAGTATTTTTTGTTACAATCACATATTACAGTACTGTAGTGCATAACTGATGTGCGAAATAATTATAAAATTTATTTTAGAATAATAATCTTAAACCTGTAGCATGTAATTATATTCCAGTTACATTGCAACAAAAGGTACAATTGATCTGTCTGGGCCTTTAAGGTTTTATTCTCTCTGGAACAGACTGATCATTAGAAAAAGCAGAAAAGCAGATTTAAAGCAGTGTTACGTCACAGAACAATATAACTTTCAACCTCCACAATCAAAAAGTCAAAGTATGATCCAACTAAAGACCTACCAATCAATGGTCTTGGATAAAACTGATGGAATACTCTGATCAGATTAGACCAAATTTACATCATTTGGCATACTTAAAAAAAACAAAATGTAGCAGGACACCAGCATGGCACACCCCTAAACACGACATCCCCATGTAAATCATGGTGTTGGCAGCATCATGCTGTGGGAATACTTTCCTTGGTCAGGGACAAGGAAGCTATTCCGAGTTGATGGCAAGATTAATGGAGCTAAATACGGGGGAATAGTGTCAGAAAACGTGTTAGAGGCTGCAAAAGTCTTGCAACCTTAACTGAAAGGAAGAATGGCTCTGCAGAGAGCTGGTTCAGGAAAGCTGAACACACCTTCAGATTTCTATGGATAATTTCTCTTCCAATACACAGTTAATATGTGTGAATCTTTCACATAAAATATAATAAGGCTTGTGGTTGAAGCATACTGAAATATGGAATTGATTAAGGGGTATATCATACACACTTATCAGTTGTGGTAAGTTGTAAGCGGTGTGGAGGTGATCAGGGTGTGGCTTCTCTGAAGTGTAATGAAAGCCCAGGCTGCTTTAATGAGCTGATCAAGCATGGTGGTACCATGGTCATTACAGCAGGAATTGGTACTTTCAGCAAATTGGGCAGGGGCCAAATTGACAAAGCTCATCAGCTGAGGTCTTTCCACTCTGACATTTTCATCAGAAAGGAGGACACTGGACCACTGAGCAATAGCCCAGTTGTTTTTCTGCATTAGCCCAAGTAACCTGCTCCTGATATTGTCCTTTGTTACAATTAGGGCTGCACAATAACAAAGATAAAACCCAACAGTATTTCCTGTCTTAGACACTTTAAATAACACGTTGCTGTCATTTAGCACATATTTACTGTTGCTGCTGCATCTATTTCCACTTACTGACTTACTTAGTTTATTCTGTTATTTATCCATTTATTCTGCTATTTATCCATTTATTCTGTTATTTATCCATTTATTCTGCTATTTATCCATTTATTCTGTTATTTATCCATTTATTCTGTTATTTATCCATATTCTGTTATTTATCCATTTATTCTGTTATTTATCCATATTGTTATTTATCCATTTATTCTGTTATTTATCCATATTGTTATTTATCCATGCAAGATGTCTATATTCAAAACTTTTCTAGAGTTTTTGCTAGAGTTCCTTCTCCTCTTTTTTTCATTCCACTAAACTTTCCATTGAAATGTTTGAATACACATAGATACTTTAATTATAACATTTTGACAATGAAAGGTTACCGTTGGATTTCATGTGACTAGTGGGTAACCTTTAAAAGTAAACTCTACAGGTTTAAATAACGCTATCTGTATATCATGGAGACATTATCGTCTGTGTCGGAGAAAGAAACTTACTTGCCAGACAAAATGTCCTGCCGAAGCTGCAGCACAAAAAGATACCTGTCGGTAGAACAGAGGAAGGCAGTCGAATGAAAACACAAGAAGATTAATCAATCATGGTTTTCTTCCTCCTCCTCACCAACACATAATTTGCTTTAACAAGTCTCTGTCCATTTGGCCCTGATTTGTATCTGCCCTCAGCAGCAAACTAATTAGCACCACATCCCCTTTGGACCTCTAGAGCGGGCTCCAGAGAGCTCCATCAGCTCTTGTGTGTATGTGTGGATTGTTACCGTGTAAATTCCTCGCGCAGGTTATTTGGCTCTGAGGAGTAAAATTTCACTCTGAAGAAGAGCCGGTAAGGCGGACCTTCTAGGAGAAATAAAGAGAGATGGGAAAAGGTGGAGAATAATGAGGCAGTAATTCACGGGGCGTTTATCTAATCAAATCTAAACCTTGTTTTGTCTCATTTATTTAATCTCATCCTTTCTCTGAAGGCTTCTCATCTAGTTCATCCATCACTGTCCCAAGGCCAGATCTCTGTATCCCTTTACTTTTATTGTTCTTCTCATTTTAATGTTAACATCCATCCGATTATTTCAGGGTCCAGTAATACCACCTGATCCATTCTCCTCCTGAGACACAGTTTATTCCCCCAATAGGAGCCGAATAGCAAACAAGGCTTTGGCTTCCAAATGCACGCGCTAATCACCGAGTCAACATTAGATAATGCTCCACCTGCTCCCCACACAGCACGCTGCACATTTTCCTGCACAAACACTAATTAGGAGGGCAGTCGGAGCAGCCGAGGACTCACCCTGGACCTGTTTCTTCAGAAGCTTGGACATATCCAGCCAGTGCTGGGGAAAGAAACAAAAATAAAAGAGAAAATAGGTGAGAGTGAGTTACATCGGCATGGTGACTTAGTAATAGAGAGAACAGCTCTTTACTCACTGAAACCTGATCTGTGTCCATGAACTGCAGGCCGAAATAATCCGTCTCCACCAGATCGATGTGATACATAATCTGATCAAAAAGGTCCTGGCCTTTGGATTTGCTCTGCAACACAGGAAAACAATTAATTTAATGAATGTCTTTTTGTGATGCTTTGGAGAAGACAGTTTTATTGTAATTTTAAAAGACACTTTGATTAAAAGTTTTCTTTTTTTTCTAAAGACATCCATTCAGTACCGGACTGTTTCGATTTAAAATAAATCTTTTTATGTGTTTGTGTTTTAGCTAAGGGTCCATCTAAATTAAACCTTAACAGACTTTATTGCCATCAGTGGGATATAACAGACATTTTTCTTGTAAATTAAATCAAAAGTAACTAAGATAATGTTTAACAGGCTATAGTTGCACTTCAATACCAGCAGGCAGTAAAACCTGACATGAAGTTGACCCCTCAGGTCTTTGCTGGACTTCTTTTCTTATTCCTACACATTTTCCATGTCAAAATTGCATTCTGTTCTGACTTCCTCTCTTTAAGGTCCTCATCCATTTTGGATCAGTTTATGGCATAAATATGTAACAGAAATGTATGGCAGACTAGAAATGCTGTTCTTCTTTTTATATCATTTAGTCTTCTGTGTATCTGTAAGTATGTATATATGTATGTGGATGGATGGATGGATGGATGGATGGATGGATGGATGGATGGATGGATGGATGGATGGATGGATGGATGGATGGATGGATGGATG